GATATGTCTCTCTGGCAATGTCCTTCTGACCCTTGGAAAAACAGTTCATGCTCTTCAAAGGAGGAGGCTTATATCATGTGTGCAGGTGAATAATGCCTGTTTCTGTGTGGCTGTCCCACCTCTGTAGGATGTTATTAGTGAAATTTCATATTTTCAAATCTAAGTGATGAATTTTAAGGGAAGAGTACAAAACATGAATGAAGGTGATTTAAACAAGATGTTGCAAAATTGTTTCAAAGGAAAAAATAGGGAAACCTGTGCTGACTGCAGTTTATGTGAAAAATATCAGGGAGATTGGAATGAACATGTGGCTGGCATGAATAACACTCTAGTAAGCTTTTTTAAGGAACTGATCACTAATTACGAGTAGGTAAATGATATGCCAGCACCTTAAAGTAAGGGGCAGAGCAGAAAATCAGTCCTGATTGCTCCGTCCCTTAAACTCATGGTCTTTTACTCTGAAATGTGTCTACACCACGTAGACTACTTATTAAGTCGATCTGTTAGTCGATAATCATTCACTGCCTTGCAGGTACAAATTTATACTCCAGAGAAGGAAATAGATTTACTGCTGTCATAGAGCTTACAATGCAGTTCGAAAACTCTCGTTAGGCAGAAATTTCAAGTATCATGAAGAGCGAGGAGGTGCTTGGAAGTGTGCAATTTGGCAAAAGAAAAAAAAATCATAGTTAGATGGAGACCTGAAGAATGAATGAGATTTCCTTAAAGGAAGAAAGTGGAAAGGTCTTTTTGGTTCAGTATAAACACTGAGTTGGAAGGGACATGGTATCTATGAGGTGCTGAGAAGATTCCATCATGGTCAGAGCAGAAAGAGGGTGAGGGGAGAGATTCCTGTTGGCTGCCACATCACGGAGAACTGCTGGGAGGTCAGTGACCTAGATTCCTCACACCTTTCTGCTTGAATTTCTCTCTTCCAAGAGGCCCTCAGAATCCCTGTCTTCTTGGCTGATCTCTTATTCTCTGTGCCTTTCTCCTTCATTACTGTGTACTTTTCTGCTTTCCTCATTCTACTCCCACAAATCTTCAGAGCCTGCTCGAATTTGGAGACCATTATTTTCAAATTCCCTTATACCCTCTATGTTACCTTCACTTTTATGTTCTGATCAAAACCTGACTTTTCCCTGAAAACACCGATTTCCCTATCAACCAGAGGCTGTGAGTTTGTTTGTCTTTCAACAGACTTTTCTCTGGCGCCAGACTTTGATTAGGCATGCTCCTTGCTCTCAGTTGTCATTTTCAACAGTTCCTCTTCTGTTTCTTCTCAACATCCAGTTACTTTGAAATCCACTCCATGAGGCAACACCACCCAATACTTCTATTTGTTGCTGTCATCATCCAATACTGTGGTCACTGCCTCTCGTCCACTGAAGACTGCAGCACCAGGCTCACCAGGTTCTTCATTATGTCTTACTCCTGGAACCAAGAATAGTTAATTAAACATCTTTATACACAACTGAGACAACCTTCTGGACTCTCATTTTATTAAGTCCTCAGTTCTAAACACTTTTCCTTCTATCCCACCTCTGCCTGTGCATACACTATTGACGATGAAATATGTATGCCTTAAAATCTTGAGTTTTTAAATTCCATTCTACAATCATTGCTTTTATTCTTAAGACTCATAACCTGTAATGCTCCTTTCCAATAACTTTTCATCCTCATGGAGATACCTAATCTTTTTCCCTATCAGTTTTTCTTACTTTCCTTCTCTCCTCATATCTGCCCATTTTTTCCTCAGCAGATTAGACAATATGATAGCAGATTAGACAATCATTTTCCTTTAACTGTATTCAACTCTTTTGCCTGTTCTTTGTCAGTCTTAACTGGCACACACAAGATGGTTAAAGTCAACTACCTGACTACTCCTTGCCTATACTAAACTAATAAAAAGCCAGGAAAATAACACACAGAATGTTGCTAGTCTACTTTTGGATTCCTGACACAATCTCTGATGGGCACTATAAACTGCCCCTAAGTTCTATTGTCCCCAAGTTCTCCTGTACTCTACTGTACTGTACTATGTTTAAAATTATATTTTAATGTTTTCTTTCCCCACACTGTCAAAACCTGATTCCCACTAGCCATTCTCAAATCATGATCTTGCCTCTCACCTCACAGAGAAATTAGAACAGAGAACTCATCTTCCTTTCATGAAATCTGCCAACTTCTGGCACACACTCTCTACTTGGCTCCCAAGGTCAGCTGCCACTGTGCTTACCGTAGGCCAGCTCTTCTGCATGGTCTAGAGATCCTAATAACACTTACCTTGTCAAAGTCTTAGGTTCTGCAACTATGCCCTCTTTCTCAGCATCTTCAATTTCTCCCTGTCTCTTGGTTGATTCTCATCGGTATATTTACAAGCTTGAGTATCACACATCTTGAAAAACACCTGAACAAACAACATTCTTCTTCATCCCCAAATCCTCCTTAGCTGCTACTCCCCATCCCTCTTCTCTCTCCTCCACAGCTAAGTTTTCCAAAGTAATATTGTCATTAATCATTCACTGTATCTGTACTTTTGTGTCTCCTGCTGTTCTTAACTCATCCATTTAAGTTTTAGGCTCCACTATTCCTCAGAATCAGTAAGGAAATGAAATATAGCAAACCTTTCTCTTTTCATTATTCTTGACCTGTCAGCAGCATTCAGTAGGTTGATTTCTCTTTCCCTCTCAATTTTTCTCTTTGCCTCCATCAATCATGCTGTCTCATTAATTGCTCTCCTTATTCTAACTCATTGATTGTTGTTTTTGTTCTTACAGG